ACTTCCCACTGAGGTGCCTTGATACAGCACTCTGGGAACAGCCTATTGGTTCAGCAATTTCTTTCTGTGTCTTACCCTCTTGCTTGAGGGTGTCAATGATGGCCTTCTGGACGGCAGTCAGGTCGGCAGTCTTACCCATGATTGCGGTTTTGAGTAATGAACAAGGCTGTGAGTTTTTAAAAGCCTCAGGAATCTTTTGCAGGTGTTTAGAGTTACGTCGTTGATTCAGATGGTTAGGTTAATAGCTTGTTTAGAGAACCTTTTCATGATATGATAATTTTTTGGGACAGGCATTTTGGGTTTTCATGAGCTGTATGCCATAATCATCAGTATTAAAACAATTAAAGACCTGAAATATTTCAGTTGGTGTGCAATGAATCTGAAATATATGAAAGTTGCATTTTTATCATTACATTATGGAAAATAATGACCTTTATCACAATATGCTAATTTTTTGAAAAGGACCTGTATACCTGAAAGTATCCTGATGCATGCTCAATAATCGAGGGAGAAAAATCTAAGAAAGTTAAGTCTGGTCCTCTGGACATTCAAAAAACAAAACAAACAAACAACAAAAAAGTAGAAACGTTTCATCCTTCATCCGAAAGACTTCTTCAATCTGAGTCTGAGTTGAATACAGCACCTCAGACTGAAGAAGTCTTTCAGATGAAAGACAAAACGTTTCTACTTTTTTTTTGTTTTGTTTTGTTTTTTGAATGTCCAGAGGACCAGACTTAACTTTCTTAGATATACCTGAAAGGTTTGTGGATCGAAGCCCATCCAGAGTGTGTATCTGTAATCCCAGCTGCGCAGTGAGTAACCCATCACCTTTATGTCTTTCAAATCAGGGAGGTCAGAGTCCACCTGAAACAAGAAGCAACTTTAAAGTGTGAACGTGTCTATGTAGAGCTATCACGTAAGCACCTGAGGAGCTCATGTCTGGCTGCCACACTTCTGCGTCCACACATTAAACCTACAGCAGATGGAGATCTCGTTAATATATTAATTTAAAGCCTGTGTGCTTGAAAGTGACAGCTCTGGTAGAAAATGATGTGTGTGTGTGTTGGGGGGGGGGGGATTGAAAAGGGGGAGGGGTCAAAGAGCGATAGTGACAGACAGGTATGTTAATCAGTGACCTTTTCTAATTGTTTTTAAATGCAAGTTTATAATCAGGTAAGAAACCATATTTAAATCTTATCTGCCTCTTGATCAGCTACAATATAATTATTGAATTCATTTTACTCTTTAGGAGAACCTCTACCTGTGGGGTATCAGCAGGGCGAGGGTATTGACTGAAAGCAAGGAGTTCTGCATTTTTTCCTCTCTCCGTGTGTCGAAAAGTAAGAGACAAGTCTTTTCCTTCTGTACACAGCTCCACCTGAAAAACAGAAATCAGACCAGAAAGTGAAGCACATCAGGTGTATTTGTTGGGGGTTTGATTCCACCAGCAGTCACATGCCGAAGTGTCCCTGGGCAAGACACTGAACCAGTCATTGCCTCCAATATGTGTCCCATCAGTGTATGAATGTGATAAAGCTCTGATTAGTTTCTACAGATTAGCGTTGTAGAGATCCAGTAGAGAGCTGTATGAATGGGTAAATGAGGCACAGATTGTTGTAAAGAGCTTTGAGAATAACGCTAACATACAAACCAGATTCCAAAAAAGTTGGGACACTAAAATTGTGAATAAAAACTGAATGCAATGATGTGAAGATGGCAAATGTCAATATTTTATTCAGAATAGAACACAAATCACATATCAAAAGTTTAATCTGAGTAAATGTAACATTTTAAAGGAAAAATATGTTGATTCAAAATTTCATTGTCAACAAATCCCCCAAAAGTTGGGACAAGTAGCAATAAGTGGCTGGAAAAAAGAAAGTGAGCATATAACGAACAGCTGGAAGACCAATTAACACTAATTAGGTCAATTGACAAACTGATTCGGTATAAAAAGAGCTTCTCAGAGTGTCAGTGTCTCTCAGAAGCCAAGATGGTAAGAGGATCGCCAATTCCACCAGTGTTGCACAGAAAGATAGTGCAACAATACCAGAATGGTGTTACCCAGCGTAAAATAGCAAAGACTTTTAAGTTATCATCATCAACCATGCATAACATCATCAAAAGATTCAGAGAATCTGGAACAATCGCTGTGCATGAGGGTCAAGGCCGTAAAACTCTACTGGATGCTCGTGATCTCCGGGCCCTTAAACATCACTGCACCTCAAACAGGAATGCCACTGTCAAGGAAACAACAGAATGGGCTCAGGGATACTTCCAGAAAGCATTGTCAGTGAACACAATCCACCGTACCATCCGCCGTTGCCAGCTGAAACTCTACAGTGCAAAGAGGAAGCCATTTCTAAGCAAGCTCCACAAGCTCAGACGTTTGCACTGGGCCAGGGGTCATTTAAAATGGAGTGTGGGAAAATGGAAGACTGTTCTGTGGTCAGATGAGTCACGATTTGAAGTTCTTTATGGAACACTGGGACGCCATGTCATCCGGACCAGAGAGGACAAGGATAACCCAAGTTGTTATCAATGCTCCGTTCAGAAGACTGCATCACTGATGGTATGGGGTTGCATGAGCGCTTGTGGCATGTGTAGCGGTAAGGGTTATTTAATAGTTAAAATTCATTATGAATTTTATTTTGAAGGAGCACCACTCAGCTCTGAGAGAAAATCTGAAGGTCTGAAAATCAATTCAGATTATTATTTAATTACCTCGAATTACCCTTTTACACCATGAATTATTTTATATGAAGGATTCAGATGTCATAAGTAAAACACACACGCTTTAATACAAATTTGTGATGTTTATTTAACTATGTATGATAAACAACTGTTTGCAATTATTTCTGACATTTAAAATGAAGGATTTGGTCCCAGCTGGGGTTAGATGGAAATTAAATGACCGTCAAAATTACTGGTTAGCATGGATTAACAGATAAATGAAATTACTATATATGCTTAAATCAAACCAGAAAAAAGATGCAATGTGGAACAATTTTGTTATTTCATCAGGGCAAATTATGAAATTTTACTAAAATAAATATGTTTTATCATTCACTATTTAAAATTTGGTCTGAAATTTAAAGACAAATAATTACTGAACTGAGTTAAACTAATTTGGTTAAAAATCTAAATTCTTGAACACCAGAGTCAACCTGTCAGAGGATCAGTTCAGCTTTTCCTACCAGGATCCGTCTTCAAAGGCTGCCAGAAGATACCAGATATTTGACTCTCTATGAGCCGATGGTCTGCTGATGTAAAGTTGTAATCCTTCACATCCCTGACCTCAACACGGAGTTTGTTCACTGGCTTGAATGGTCAGCCTGGAGCGTTTCCTGGAATCCTGGACAGCTGTTGTTAACTCTGTGACGAAAACTGCAGGTGTTTTGATTGCTGAAAAGGATTCTATCAAACTTTGTCCAAAGTTGAAGCTAATTTTCTCCTTGGAAGTCTTCTGAAGGTTGTGTCTTAGAGCTTCTATCTCCTCCTCGGGAGGTCTTCATCACTCCTTCATCATCATTTCTCTTCCGTCTCTCCCTCTCTCTCCTTTTCTCCTGTTTCTTCTCTTGTAAACAATCGACCACACCTCTGATTTGAAAGAGGTGGTCGATTTGAACCAATCAAGATGAAAGGGCTGAACTTTTATCAACTAAATAAAGTATTATTTTAATCTGCTCTGTTGAAAAAGTCATCAAATAAAATCATTTAAGACACTTATCAACTTTAAATGAGGTTAAACAATACAAACACTTTGTCAACCTTATAACAGAAAACAAGTTTGTAAACTTTTGGCCTACACAGGTTATTGTCAGCTGTAAGGGAACAACAAGGCAATATTTAGTTATACTTCAGTAAACGCTTCTTTCAATACAGAAAAACAGTAGTAATTCTTCTAAAACTAAGAATAAAATGTCTGTCTGTTTTCTACATGCAGGAAATGGGACTCAAGTGTCAAAGTTGGAATTCCTTTGAACAGAGACGAAGCTTTCTGTTATTTATGATCGTTGATGGGATAGTCTAAATGGAGGCTGGTACAAGTTGATACCAGGACATGCTGGAGTGATCTGTGTTAACTCAAACGTCCATTTTGTGGGGTTCACAGAAAGGGTGTTCCAATATTATTTAGATTTATGGATCCTTGGGTTTTCTTACCAACCATAAAAGTCTTCTTTTGACACTTTCCAGAGTTAGAGATGCAAGAGGGTTTTTTTTCTATTTCAGAAACATCTTTACAGAATGAACTGCTCAGTCACAGAAATAAAAGGTCTGTTACAAAATGACATTCAGGGACGCAGGTAAATCTCTACACATTGGCAGCTTGCATGTCTGGAAAGGCACCATTAATGCAGAGAACTATGTTCAGGTTCTAGAACAAAATATGCTCCCATCTAGACATCATCTCTTTCAGGGAAGACCCTGCATTTTTCAACACGATAATGCCAGCCCACATTCTGCAGCAATCACAACATCATGGCTACGTAGGAGAACGATCCGGGTACTGAAATGGCCAGTGTTGGATTTGATATCTTTTATATCTTTTGACAAGCCTTGACATTTCTCTGATGATGTGAAATGATGCATTTTCTACAAGGTGTGTGCATGTATAATCATACACTAATTACTTCATGTTATATATAATCTCACAAGTGCTAAGGATAATCATACAAGTTCACATTTGATATAATTCTGAGGGAAACAGAGACAGGTAAGACACTTGTTCGTGCAGCAGGAAATGATCCTTCTTTGTTCTCTGAGCAGAGCAGCTGAGAGTTGAGGGCCCAGCAAGGTGACACACTGCTCACACATTGATTAAACATAAATAACGCTAAATCACAACATTCATATACTTTATACTTAACACAGGTTGAGTATTTATCCTCTCACATTAATAATAGTTCAGACACACAGAAATCGTGTTTTAAAGCTCTATACAGACGAAAGCCAACTACAAGCTGAAGAGTAAGTGTCCTGCGTTCCAAAACAAAGCTCGTAAATCAACCCTTATCAGTAGAAGGATGAGCGAGGCCGTCTGGGACTTTCGGAATAACCCTGGAGATAAAATCTGCCCCCGAGTGGCTGAACATGGTGTCACTCGGACCATCAAGAGGTTTTGACATCCAATCACAAGTCTGAACCCGAAAGGACATGAAAAACCTATAAATCTCGCTCAGACACAGAGTTTGGTTGAACAAACTCGGGCTGATTCACCAGGCAAGGTTCGCTCTGACTTTGTTCCTCAGACTGCATTCTGATTACATGTAATATCTGCATACTTTAACTTTGTCTCAATTAAATCTTTAATAGTAAGGTGAAGTGCTCCTGAAATTCTGTGCTCAGGTCATTTGAACACCACAAAACCCTTCAGATGGTGACCGCGACGTGATGATCTTCAAGCACACGAGGAGCGGTGAGATTCGACCCATGAGCGTAGCGACCGTTCGCATCCAGAGGAGAGGCACCTCACATTAAACAGGTAAGCGGGTTACCTAAGTTGGCCGAAAGGCTATTCGGCCGTAAACCAAATTGAGCCTCTGGATGGGCTTGGTGTGTTCTGTCTCCTGAAATAAAGAAGGAATAGAAGCTAATGTTAATATAATAACTAGAGGCATTGAGCACGAAGCTTAAAGTGTGCAGAATAATAGAATAAGAGAGTACAATGAAAAAGAGAGAAGCGCTAAGTCTAAGGTCAAAGAGAAAAGTGAAGATAAGAGATAGGAGAAAAAAAAGAGACTAAGAAGGCCAAAAACAGAAATAAGGGAAGAAGAAAAATCCTAGTAGTATCTCTGCAGTAGCGCGCCTCCTATCGGTCGACAGGCCGGTAGTTAAACGTAGACTGGGTCACGTGAGCTCAGCTGACGTAGGGTTGGGGAATTGAGGGACCCCTTAAACGGACGGAATTGGCAAATAAAACAAGGATTAAAACGCGAGTCGGGGACTGTGGAAAATGCGTGAATAAATTAATAAAAGGAGAAACCACGCTATAAAAAAATAAAAATAAAAAACTCATAATTTAAAAATCCGCGCACGACGTGATGAATAAAAAACTCATAATCTAAAATTCCGCACACGAGGCGATAGAAAAAATTTAAACAATTAAAATGCATAAAAAAGGAGTGAAGAAAATGTAGTGTTGTTTGAAGAACAAGGAAACAACCTCCACCCTATGTAACTTCAAGACCTGTCCAACGGCGCTCCCTGCTGGAGTGTACCCAGTAATACACGTGACATCAGGGACCGTACACATAGGGAATGAGGGCTTGAAAGAAGTGGAAGAGGAGGCAGGTGATGAAGGAGGGATGAGCCGAAGGATGGAAGCAGAATGAAGGAGAGACATCAGCCAGCAGCTGGCTGAACAGGACCAACAAC